GGATCTTAAACTCAAATTACCTACGGGCCATATATTTTTTTCAAAAAAGAGAATTAGATTTAGTAAAAAAGTATGCATAGCCCCATTTTTCTTGAAAAGTCCGTCTTTCTTTGTAAATTGTACGTTTTATCGGTTTGATATGAGACATTAAAACGAACAAATTACGCGTATAAACTTAAATTTAAAATTCAACTAGAATAGCAACTATAGTTACTCGTACGAACAAAACAAWAAAGGTCACAGTCAAGCTGTTATCCACTATTACACTGAATTAAAAATTATATTTATCTTTGTAGATAAGATTTGATTTCAAATATTTTATTGGGYGTAATGGGATTTCTGAACAAGTAAAAATAAAACATGAACGTTAAATAATATTTTATGTATTGATGATGCGTAAAAAAAAAATAACAATTTTAACAATTTTTTTTCAACATTTATTTTTATTGCGGGCCATATAGGAAGGGTACACGGGCCACCTGTGACCCGCAGTCCGTATGTTTGAGACCACTGTCTTATAATATGTGTATGTGCACAAAAATCAGCGTGTGCCAACAGTAATAGCTAACGTACAATTCAGATGTACCTACTTACTGGATAATATATGTTTCAAAAAATGGTTGAATGAAACATGTCAAAATTACATAATTCGACATTTGTTTATTCAAAATGTATATGAGTACGCCGTTTTGTCGTCTAATAAATTCAGTAAAAAAAAACGTAACGAGTTTTTTATGGGACTAAGACCAATTAGCATGGTATCTACTTGCGTTCACTATAAGTAATTGTACGTGAGATTATGATTTATGTTTGAGTAACAAAAATACGTTATTTTTTCAATTATTCTATCGTTTTGTTTTGCAGGAAAAAGCGTTTATTTTTAGGTTGATAAAAAAATCTCAACAGTTTTCAGTTGCGCTTCAAAAGATCTTAACCTACCTGATTGAACAGATTGAATACTTATTTTTATATTTTAATAAAAACATATATCCCTCGAAAAAGTTCACTGCATCTTTTTATCAGCTAATTCATGATAACCATAACAAAACACGTTGAAGGATATCATTGTGTACCTACTATATTCTATCAAAAATAAATTAAAATTTTTTTATTAACCCTATCATTTTTAATAAAACCGCCAACAAAATTAAAGAATTATATGATATAGAACCACTGCTAGTTTTTTTTAATGTACCTATAATAGGTACATTGCATAATACTATTTGTCTTTAAAGTCTACAACAATTGTTGGAAATCTTATTTATCTATTGAAAATGCCTTTAAAAATATTCAATTCGATATTCCACCCAACACTATTGTATCTATGTCTGTATAATATATAGCATTAATTTTTTTATATTATTTATTTTGATAAAATTTATTATATTTTAAGAAAGCACAACAGTAATGTAATTATAGTTAAAAATCACCAGCATACCCTCTAATTGTGTACGCTGATTTTATTTTTATTTGCAKTTATCAAAACATAACAATTATTTCATCATTGAATTAATAATTAATACTTGAAAATTAATGTTTATATAGTTAATTTTGTGTATTATGCAACATAGSTGGTATAAGTCAGGTTCATACTATATTTACACTAAAAACGTACAAACATCTTAAGTTTTAATAAAACATTCAAATTTAGATGTTATGAAATACAAAAAAATACTACGTTAAAATTTAGTGGAAGATCTTGAACTTAGTTTATGAACCCATTAAACATTGCATTTAAGACATCATCAATCACCAATTACAAAAGTATATTTTTGAAAACATTTGGTAATCACGCGTTAATTATTGATTAAGAGAGACTTTATAAAAGAAGACCGCTCGAATTTTCTATGAGAATCTTTTAAACAAAACAAAAATATTAAAATTTTTTTTATTTAATTTATGTTGTCAAAGTCACGTATACTCACGCGTGTTCAATTAACATTTAAAAATTGCTCGTTATTGATTAAAGAACAACACCATTATATTAGCAGGTATTTACCTATTCCAAATGCACGCTGTTAATAGCCATGTTTTAAATAAAAAAATATCTCCGAACCATAATACTCATAATCGTTATTTAGCGGATTTATTACCATTTTTTACAAAATTTTTTCCCAAATTTTTTTTACATTTTCATATTCACCCATGTTTTAAATAAAAAAATATCTCCGAACCATAATACTCATAATCGTTTTTAAATTCAATGATTTATAATAATTGCTTTCAAATGCATAATATTGTTAAAACAGTTTGGCATGCGTCGAAAGGGTCGAAGATAAATGAAAAAACATCCAATCATACCCTCTGCAGTGTGTCTGTCACAAATCATTTCCCTATTTTTATAATTTTACACCATATATATACAATATAATTAAGTGTTTGGTACCACTGTACCATGTTTAGGTATAACCGTGTTTTTTTTCGTATGACAAAATTAGTATTTAGTATTTACTCAATCATATTACATTTAGATCACATTAAAAAAAAAAAAATTAAAAATCAAAAATTCCGAATTCAATAATACACAATTTGTTTGACGTGTATGTAGAATATTAGGCATATAGTGTGTTTACTTATTTACTTTGTGAACAGCAATAGAATATCAATAATATCACGACGACATTGAATCGAATGAGTTGATATATTTTCATTGCTCGTCGAACAGTTATTTAATGTTGAGCTGTTAAAAGTTTTAAGTGCACGCGTATAATGCAAGTCTGTTACATTGCTGAAGTTATGGGTATAAATGAAATATAAATATTATATTGTTGGTAAAGAACGCTAAATAATATAAAATATATACTATAACACGTGGTAGACGTTAAATGGCAGCGTCAATGACCATATGTCGCCAATAATTATTACAGTAATTCCTGGTAGCTTTATTTTTTTTTATTACTGAACAGTATACGTCGTGTATCTGACCGAGTGTGGATAACGAGGGAGAAATAGAAAAAATACACTCTTGTGTGATATATATAAATACGTTTCATTATTTTTATTATTATATTATACACGATATTATTACTCACGACCGCGATGTCGTCGGGAAACGTTTTATGACCCATGTCCCTAATTGCGAACGTTTATACAATAAACAATAGACGATTCCTCCGAACCTAAACATCTCGTTCGGAAAAACGGACTGAACCCATTTTTAAATAATAATTATTATTGTTGCTTCGGTAGAAAAAAAAAAAACAATTTAAAAAATAAAAATAAAAACCACAAACCGTGTTCGAGTTTTAATTACACRACGCATCGCGATTTTAATATGAAATAGTTATAAAACGAGATGTGAATAATTTGTTTAGCCAAAAAGAATTCACGCGGCGGGGGTTGTATATACCTACCTATATATGTATAATGCGAAATAAAAAAAACACTCTAAACAACGTAATCGCACTGTGTGTAGGCACTGCATGATATATATTATAATTACATGATTTGCTTATATACATACGACTTGTTGGGTCTATTATGCTTGATGACTGCACTCARTCGTTGTGTATAATGTTAAGGTATTCACTCACACCCGAGGCGTAAATTACTTTTCACGCTTCGGTTGTGCAACAATTTTGTTCGTACTTTTTTTATTCTCTCTYACCTTTTTCATGTATTTCTTCGCACTATTATTTATTATTATAACGATATTTCTTTTCATTACGTGCCCGCATATTTTATTTCCAGGGAAATGCGGCCRAACGGCAACTTGTACTTTCCGCCGTTCCCCGAACAGTCGTACATGCCAGAAATACACGCGGCGACTTACAAGTGTGCCCTGGAAAACCCAGTGGGGAGGATCGTCTCGCGGGAGTCCAGGATTAAAGCCGGTACGGATCTGCGTAAATATTTAATTTTCGTTTCCGCGCCCCAAGCCGCCGCCGCCGCCGCCGCCCACTTACAATACGAACGTGTATACCTAACCAGTGAGCCGTGTCGTTTATTTCGATTGTTTCCCCCTCGGCTCTCCTTCACCACCACCAACCGTGGGAAAAGTTAATTCAACGTCCACTTACATTCACATATTCCTAGTGCAGTGTGTAATATTATTTCAACTARAATACTATTGTCTAGATGACGTGTGCAATTTCGATCGCACGAGTTTTAACGATGGGTTTGTGTTTTTAGTTGTATTCTGCAATGCAAAATAAACGTACCTATACCTACGTATAATTCAAAAACAACGCATTTTTAAAATTTTTTTTAGTAAGAACTTTGAGTATAAAACTGAAGCTAAACTAAAACTTTCAGTATAGTTAATCGATTTCAGAAAAACAACGCGTTAATAAGGCATATCGATTGTCTAATAAAAGATAAATTATTTAATGTTAAATATTTTTTTAAATAAATTTAAAATATTATTATGTACACAATTCATACAAATTATTAAATWATTATAAAAAATAAGCTGAGCTTGTGGTGTTGGAGGGACTAAGGAGTTATATTAATTATCTTAAATTAAATTATAAATAAATAATGCATTTTGACTGGGAATCTATTTTAAATTTCAAAATTGTTTTTATTATATTTGTTATTTGTTGGTATACCAAGATAAACATATAAATTGAATATAACGCTAAAGACAAACACAAAAAATCATTTTTGAATTCTTATTTCAAAWGACATGTCCATGATCTAAATATCTAATGTACCTATTTCCAACGAGGACTAGGTTTTAGGCTATTATTATTTTTTTTTCGTATTTTATTGTGCCGTTCCGCTACGTAAGGAAACTTGTTTGTTCCGTGTAATTACATTTGATTTATATATTTTTAATTTATTATTATTCATACAATTATGTAAAGAATAATTAATTAAACGCCGTAGACCGAAGTTAGCGTGTTATTATGAACAAGCAACAACCTAAATATAAATCCTGGGGAAGAGTGTGGTAGGATATAATTTTATTTTTAAAGTAAACATAGCACATTTTTCTGATTATCAACACGTTTTATGACATTTYATGAGAATACGTTATAAATGTAATATAAAAATAAACATAATATCTAACAGTATTATTGTTTTTTTTTTTTTTTTAATCTAAACAATATTTTAAAYTTTAATAGTGATGTCAAAATCATATGAGCTATCCGTCCAAAATGCGTTTGCTCTCCAAGGAAACGTAGCTGAATTTAAATGTCAATTACCAGAGTTAACTAGTGAACATTTGGTAAAAACCTGGTTCAAAATGGAAGATTCCAGGATGGAAGTTGGCCAATCAACACCAATACATCCAGGAGGACGTTACGTAATCTCATTAGATGGTACTCTACTAATTCACGACGTAGTACCTGAAGATACGTTTGATAGATATTTCTGTCAAGTTGTCAATAAGTATACGGGCGATCAGCTGGTCAGTCAATCGGCTAAAATCGTTGTCAAACAACCTACTGAGGACATGCCGCCAATTATTAAACACCATACAGAACATATTCACGTTAAAGTCAATCAAGAAGCCGATTTGATATGTTTAGCGGAAGGATTTCCGCCACCGACGTACAGGTATATTAATCGCATTACATACCATTGCACAATTGTTCAAACTCTAATTCGACTCAATACCTACTAGATGGTTTCGTAAAACTCAAGATAATTTACAAGAAATATCTATGGAGTCACTGACTGTACATCCCTATCAATCATTGCTACATATCATCAGAGTTCCGATGAGCGAGTCTGCCATTACTTACGAATGCGTAGTTTCTAACAAACTAGGTCAAGATAAACGTCAGATTTCATTATCGGCTACYTTACCATTTGCCGTCAGTACATACCCATTGAAGCAGGTTAGTTTTGATCAGTTAATAKAAATCACTGTAATCGGCCAAAAAACGTCTCATATTTTCTATAGGTAGTCGATTCCGGTTCAACTGCAATTTTCAACTGTACCACTCAAGGTACATCGATACAGCCACTGTTTTCGTGGCTYAAAGATGGATCACCTATACGTGGTTTCGGTAGACACGAAATATCACAAAAAGGAAATCACTTGACAATACACAACGTTATGAAAGAAGATAAAGGGATTTATCAGTGTTTAGCTAGAGATCCAGAAACAGATGAGACAGCTCAATCCAGTGTGCTCCTATTACTCGGTGGTACGGGCTTAAAATAAAAACATATTAAATATAAAATTTGAAACGAAACGTTTACGTCATCATAGTTTATTTTAGCTGTTTCACCTGAGTTAATGGATACTTTCCGTGAACAAATTGTCAGAGTAAATGGTTTCCTATCCCTTAGATGTACAGCTTCTGGTAATCCTCCACCCAGAATATATTGGTATCTCGACGGAGGACTCATTCTACCCCAAGGAGATTATGTATTTGGGAGTTATATGCACGTAGATGGTAATTATTCAAAACTTGAATTTCGTAATATAATATGAAGCTTGAAAGTATTATCTAATTTGTTTTTATGTACAGGAAATGTTGTTAGCTATTTAAATGTATCAGTGGCCGATGTATTACATGGGGGTTATTATACTTGTTTGGCACGAAATATTCTAGGATTGAAATCGCATTCTGCAATGATTAAGATTTACGGTATGATAAAATGTTTTTAAAACAACTTATGAATATAATTAAATTGGTTAAAATAAAAATATTTTAGGTGATCCTATTGCAAGGCCACCTTCAAATTTAACGGTGCGTTCAGAAGACGACGCATACCTTCAATGTCCAGTTGCTGGTTATCCAATCATCAGGACAGCTTGG